GGAAATTATTTGTTGGTATCTCAGAGAAAATACAAATGCATTTGAAACTGGCTTTAGCAAGACAAAGTGTCTTAAAATCTTTAGATTGTCATTTTCATCACTTTTTAACTGAAACATCCTTTTAAAAACAATACATCATTTGAGATGTGCTGGAAATGCTCATTAATTTCAGAGAGAAAAATGGACAATGCTTGGATATGTAGTTATATCGTGAGAGAGTAAAAATGTGTTTTGGGAGTGTTTTTTCAAAAAGTTCACATGCCTAAATGTGTCCATAAATGCAGAACTAATTATAATATTGTATTTCTTTACAGTTATAGGCTATAGCCTTAACGAAATAACAGAAATGGTTTATAAATTCATAACATGAACTGTAGTATTGTAGTAATTACTTTAGTAATATCTCAGCTCGGGATGCACCCACTTTAACCCATGTGTAATGAAATGAACTGCCCGTAGCCTCGTTTAACTGCGTGGGTGTGCTTGCCACAAATAACCAGTATTATTCACAATATTCAGTCGTTCCCCCCTCTCTCTGGGCTCCTCAGCACATTCACCCACCAGCTGCGCGTTAAAACACTTGGATTCATGCATGTTGTCAGAAGAGTCCGCTGCAGCGCATTTCTCTCTCGTCGGGTTCATCAGCTTTGAGGGTGAGTTCGTATTTTAATAAAGTTGATGCAAATGCTGAATGTAAATTAGAAACAGACAGCATAAAAACTTGCCAATTTGGCGGAGACAGTTAAATACAGTAGCATAATCCATATCTATTGACAATGTTATCAGTGCATTATTTATATATTAACATTATACTGTATATTAAATGCAAAGTAACACTAGTGATTCTCTTTACCTTTTCTCACTATGTACTCACTGCAATACTCAATTGTATCGTTTACTCACTGCATTATTAGCCTACTTTTTAATGCAGCAATGATACGACTCTTGCTGATGAATTATTAGGTCATTTAAAAATTAGTCTCTCACACACACACACACAATACACTTTAATATGTAAACTCCACTACTGCTTACAAGGGGAGTATATGTAACTTTTTTTTATTCTACCCTATCCTTTTTATCCTATTCTGTATTTATCCAACCCACTTTATTATTTGTATAAATAACACAAGTGTATTTTCTTCGTATACACTGCATTACTCAATAAATGCAGCATGAGAGCACGAGTAATTGACTTTTTCCACACTGCAAATACACAGTATTTCTGTTTCACATATTTTCTTGTGCAAAATCATGTAATCAACATTCAGGCCAATATTAAGACTTACCTAGTTTTTAACATTGCACAGTTAGCTTAGCTTATTTAGCTTTCATTGGGTACAGTGGTCCTTGTTGCATATCAGTAAAATCCTTCTTTGAGCTCCATCTGCAGTATTTCATAGCTGGCCTTGCACATTGCTTGCCTTCACTCAGCTCAACTCTTTTTACCTCCAGGGAGATGCAGTGGTGGTATCAGTTAAGCTGCATAGCAGTTAGTTAAAAACTACATACGTCTATCCATATTTTCACATTTGGTTGGTGCTGTTTTTCCATAGAGACTTGCAGTGCGTTCAATTTATACATTTGATCAGTTTTGTTCATTCCCTAGTATTTGAACCATTGACCTTGGCATATTTCCTTGCTACCAGATGAGCTACAAGAGCTAACCTTAGGAGGTGCATTACACTGCACTGTAAAAAAATGATTGTGATTTTAACAGTAAAAGACTGTAAAAATGCTACAGTAAAAACCTGTTAACTGGTTAACAGTAAGTTTCCATACTATATTCGGTGAATAAATGTAATTACATTTAATGTGATTTTACAGTAAAATACTGTTAAAAATACGGTTTTAGGAAGTGAAAAAGAAAAAGTCGTTTAATTTATGGTGAAAAAACTTAAATTGACACAACCAGAATTCCCTGCATGACACTTCATATTTGAATGTTTTTTGTTGAAATAACGTTTCTTCTTAGTTTTTTTTCTTATCAATTGTGTACACTAGGGTTTAATCTTACATCAAATGTTGTTAATTGAATGTTTATTGCATTATTTCAGTATCATGAGTGTCACCATGATGGGGTTTAGTGTTTGTGTGAATGACACTGTGCACCTTCTATATATAAGTATTGTCCTCCTCAGCTCGTAGAAAAGCTGTTTGTGATGAGCTTTGGTTCATCATGTGACTTTCTAGAAAAAGTCGTTTAATTTATGGTGAAAAAACTTAAATTGACACAACCAGAATTCCCTGCATGACACTTCATATTTGAATGTTTTTTGTTGAAATAACGTTTCTTAGTTTTTTTTCTTATCAATTGTGTACACTAGGGTTTAATCTTACATCAAATGTTGTTAATTGAGTGTTTATTGCATTATTTCAGTATCATGAGTGTCACCATGATGGGGTAACATTACATCAGTTAATGAAATACGGTATTTTATTGTGAGTTTAAGTTAAGTCTGTAAAACCTAAAATGTTGCTACCATATTTTTTACGGTTAAGTTCTGGCAACCACAGCTGCCTGTATTTTACCGTAAATGTCACAGATTGTTTTTTAAAATTTTTTTATTTACAGTGTGTGTAAACGTTTTTGCTGATTGCATAGTTATCTTAAAATGACCTCCAGAGGTAGTTTGAACCAAAATTCATCCGGTTGTTCAAGCCATGTATGTAAAATGTACTCCTCCCAAAATGCAACTACGTCTGCATTGCAATTCCTGTGATGAGATTAGTCAGGAGAGTACATCGGCAAGCACACATCTGCCTTTTTTGGTGCCCGTTTCTAATTTTCATTAGCCACATCAAGTGCACCAAATTTTTTAGCCCCACATTGTCACTACCAGAAGTGTTCAATGACCATTACCTTGGTGTTGATCTTTAAGTTTATGAAACATTGAAACTATCTTTTAGCCTCACCACTGAACTCTTGTCTCTTTACCTTCAGGTAGAGCAAGATGACAGGTCCTCCATCTTTGTCGTTCAGTCTGACTGCACTGGCTGTGGTTATTTCTTTGGTCTATAGTGGCGCTTCCATCACAAACATTGAATATGACTGCCACTTAACACATATACAAGTTTCAGTGATCCTGGACCAAAGCACAGTGAGGCTTCAAAGCCCAGAATTCACTGCTGACGACTTAAGTGAGCCAGGAGTGTTGTGAGGGATTGAGTGCCAAAGAAAGCTGCCAAAACCGAGGCCTGCTGAGCTGGAACGACTACTGTCTTATGAAACCGTCTACGAGAACGGAACACGGACCTTCACCAAAATAAAATTGGAAGGGGTCACTGGATTAAGAAATGCATCCTCTTCCGTTGTCTGCAAGGCAGGACACTTTAAACGCAGAAAACGGCAGGTATACGGCATGGACGGCCGCTTTGTGATCACAGATAAACACTTCATCACCAATTACCCCTTTTCTGCCTCAGTGAAGCTCTCTACGGGTTGCTCAGGCATCTTGGTTTCTCCAAAACATGTACTGACTTCTGCCCACTGTGTCCATGATGGCCAGGTCTATCTGAAAGGGACCAAGAGGCTCCGAGTGGGTGTCATGAAGCTTCGCTCCAAACGCAGGGGAGGACACCAACGAGGAGGCAGGAGAAGAGGAGGAAAGAGGAGAGAAAGCAAAGTGGGAAATGAAGGAGAAGTAGCCACTGAATTATAACTACTTCATAGAGAAAGAGAACACAGGAGGACAAGAAACAACCGTATTAGACGCGACACAGATTCAGACCAGTCCAGACAACCGGTGTTCAGGTGGACACGTGTCAAACGAACACAGGTGCCAATGGGCTGGATGAGGAGAGCAGGCAGGGAGGTCTCGGCTGACTATGATTACGCCCTTCTGGAGCTGAAACGACCCCATAAGATGAAGTTCATGGAGTTAGGCATTGTTCCTGTAGTCAAGGACATCCCAGCTGGAAGAATCCATTTCTCTGGTTTTGACAATGACCAATTAGGGAAAGTGGTCTACCGCTTCTGTTCGGTCTTAGAGGAATCGAATGACCTAATGTACCAGTACTGTGATGCGCAGAAGGGGTCAAGCGGAGCCGGGGTGTACGTAAGGCTACGAGATCAGGGAGGAAAAGGGAAGTGGAAAAGGAAGGTAATTGGTGTGTTCTCTGGACACCAGTTGGTGGATGTTGATGGGATGCAGAAGGGCTATAATGTGGCAGTCAGAATAACACCCGCCACGTACACCCAGATATGCCACTGGATCCATGGAGATGCTAGTCAGTGTAAACTGGCCTAAAAAGGTCAGAGTCCTCAAGACTGCTGGGACGGTCTAGATACAAACTTCAAAACTGGTCCTGTTTGTGACCCAATGGAAAATCTATGGTGAGTAGTTAAGAGCACAAATGGAGCAACTGTACAGGAAATGCCTTTTTAACAAGATTACTTTGGATGCTGTATATTTATTTTTGTTTTTATTGCCAAAAGTTGAGACTGTAGCCTTTGTAATGTCAAGTTCAGGCCATGTTTGTGTTAAAAAGCCAATATCACCAGCTGAGGCCAAGTAGTTAACTACTGAAAAACAAAACAGCTTGACATTATGTATGATTTGTTTAAGTTCTTGAAGAGTTCACCCAAATATGAAAAATATCACCAGACGCATTGAGAAAAGCCCATTTTCCATACAAGAAAAGTGCATGGTGATTCATACCTCTGAAAAGAAATGGGAAGATTATTTGTGAATAACAGCCTACAATAAGAATAAAGTGCATAAGTGATATGGACTATCATGCTTTTTCCAAGTCTGGCAGTATAAATCACTATGCAGTTTCACTGCATGGAGGGGAGTAGCTCAGACATTCACAGCTTGGAAGGAAGGAGGGTAATACGCATCTGAGGTGATTGTTTGGTCTAACTGTGTTTGTATTTATTTAATATTGAATGCATTTGCCTAATAAAGTCAACAGAGTTAAAATATTAAATTATTTTAATATTATTATTAATTTTTTGATTAATACCAAGTTGTTTTAATATTTTCTTTCACAAAAATCCTTTCAACACCATTCTGGTTTATTGTCTTTGAAATGGCAGAAAAAGGAACATTTGTTACATTACACATGACAAACAAGCCATGTTAATAGCAAAACATATGTAACGCAAACAAAGTGCACATTCTACACTAACAGCTCATCAGTTGGATCCGGATCCAAATATAAATATAAAAGCTGAGTGGAGCGACACCAGAACCAGCCAATTAAAGAGTTGATGCAGCTGGACTTTATCCCTCCAGAGATCCTGATTGGACAGCATCCTGGTAGGAGGGCCCGCCCTCTTTCTGGTCAGGGAAGAGCTTGATAAGGTCATCGATTCGAAGGATGGTGATGGCTGCCTCTGTGGCGAACTTCAGACTCTTGGTTTTAACCATCGTGGGTTCATACACTCCCGCCTGCTTGTTGTCTCTTGGCTTTCCATTCACCAGGTCCAACCCGATCCTAACAGCACGCACACAAAAACAGGTTTAAACAGAGTAATCCAAACTGCATTGGCTCTCAGCTTAATCCATAATAGGCCACATTGGTTCCAGATCTACTAAATCTATTCTAAGGATATTTTAGGGGAAGTAAACCAAAACCTTACTTCTTAAACACCAGAGTTCTTACTCCTAATTTTGTATGTTTGTCTGCTGTCTGAAAGCGCAGTCATATTTCTAAGAGCTGAACAGCTTTCCCTGTGTGATGAGAAGAGAGCAACACTAACCATTTGAGGTTCTTGCGTTCAGGGTTGACCTGAGCCTCATTGTGGAAGGCTCTGAGTTTGGCCACCAGGTCAGTGGAGTCTTGTGCGGCGTTGACTGCCAGACTTTTAGGAATGACGAGCAGAGAGCGAGCAAACTCAGCAATAGCCAGCTGCTCACGGGAACCCTACGTCAAACACACAACAGTTTCAATGGTTTATTCATACACGCAAATTATTAAAAAGCACAATTACTGTATATTAAAGAGTTCAACCTTGCCCACACTATTTTCCCTTTTATTCCCCATTAATTTTCTCCATAATCATTATAACATATTCAGTTAGAGCTAAGAACCAAACTAACCAGCTCTGAGAAATGCAAAACTTTGTAAAATGCAATATAATGTGCACTATGGTGTAGGCAAGAAAATATTTAAAGTTTTTCAAAATACTGGAATATTCAAACAGACTCCGTTCCAATTCCTGTTTCTATGGCAATACAGACCATCCTGATTGGTGGAATGTTTCAGGATTGTAGAGTATAACTCCTCATTGAGAATTCAGCAATTAAAATGGATTTTCTTTTTAAAAATAAAGCAGAAATCACACTGATGTATAGATTCATTGACCTCAGAACTAGAAAGTTGAGATAAATCACTACAACTCTACGATCGTGAACCCTGCTGTTGAACGCTGTCCTGAATAGACTGTAACTGATCACACTGCAGGGTTAATGTGTCTCAGTGATAAACGAGGCATGTTTGTTCTGAGCAGGATGGAAGCAGCTGTCAGCAGAGCTGTTTATCTGTCCCTTTCCCCACTCAGGACTCTCACTGTCTCCCACGCGTATAACTGCACAAGCCATCAAACAGGCACGGCAGCAATTATAATGGGAGTGTGCATACATCCAATTGCACACAATACAGTAATATTAAAGAAACAGACAATAAAAGCCTGCCTGCCTTTTGTTTCACTATTTGATACATTAGCTATAAATTACCTGTTAGTTTGTTACAACACAACACGATCATGACGACTATGCACTGAACATAAAAGCACAAATCAAGAAAATAAAGATCCCAGCAGGCAGCTGTGAAAGATTGGGTCCTCACCATGCTTGTTGCATAGTTCTCCAGATAAATGGACAGTGCAGCCTCTACAGCGCCACCTCCTGGTACCACAGACTTGGACTCCAGCACCCTCTTCACCACACACAGGGCATCATGCAGCGAGCGCTCCATTTCATCACACATGAAATCATTCGCCCCACGCAAGACGATAGAGGCAGATGTGCGTGCCTTTGTGCTGAGAGACAGAGAGAAATGAAAAAGGCATAAATTACTACCAAGTGGTTTCCAATGCAAAACGCTGCTACAAGGTCCCATGCAGTTAATTGCATAACGTATTATTTTTCAGAATGCAAGTAATTTTTTTTGGTTTTAATAATTTATCAGTTGTAGGCAAATTAGACATTACCGATCTGTTCGTTCATACAGAAATGTTTTCTCTCTCCTAACATTTAACAATCTGTATTGTTAGGCAAGGTAAGGCATAACAAGTTTAATTGTACAAATTAATTGAGTTTCACTTTAAATTTGTTTAGGCATGGTGTTTTCAATAAATGTTTATAACGGAAGACACTATCATTTATTTCTATTATTCTTGTTCTGTATACTGTACAGTTAAATTTGATGGATTTTTGTGGAACTAAATTAGAGGAACTATTTGTTTTATGGGAACTAAAATACATTTCTAATGTTTGTAAACATTTCATTTATCGATGTTTTACATCATTTCTGAACATAATAAAGTACTTTAAACAACCTTTTTTTTTTCTCAACAATGCATTTTTGACCCTGTGCAACTTATTTTCCAGAAAACACAATAGATAATGTGCTGAATGGCATCTCTTTAAATTAAGACCAAGTATATTCTGATGAATGTATGATTTATCAGCTCTGGAAGTGCCACAGTTATCCAGGTACGAGGTAGAGTGATCAAAAGGAACCAGAACTGATTTAATGAGCCACAGTTTCTCTATACAGGCAGTGTGGAATTATTTTACTGCATGGCTTTATCGCCGGAGAACGTGAAGTGCATGCATCCTAAATGGTAATTTTCAGAATCTAATGATCAGGCATCAATTCTATCCTACAGGTTTTGTTGAGGGAAAAGGAAGATGCTCTCACTTCTTGATGAGGATGAGCTCGTCGTCACACACTCTGTCCTGCACTACCTCCTCTGCCTGACCCAGCATGGCCGCCTCAAACGTCTCCTCTCCCTCCAGGTTAGACAGAGACGAGCACACAGTGGCTGTAGGGGAAAAATCAAAACATTGTTCATTAAAATTAAGACACAGAGAATAAATTACCTCTGTATTTGAAGAACAGAAGGCCTGGATCTACTAAGCGTAAGTGTAGACAAAAGCAAGTGCAGTCAGCTGACCCCCAGTTGCTTTGGCGATGCGCTTGAGGTCCCTCTTGAGCACCCTCCTCACAGCCAAGGCTCCTACATCTACAAAGTATTTCAGACACATGTCATCAATGCCTCCTGTGGTCAGAATCACATTTGCCCCCGACGCCAGGATCTTCTGAATGCGCTCCTTCGTGATGTCTGACTCCCTGAGAAACAAATCCAGAAAGATCATCAATACTGATGATGATCAAAACTATACTGCATACAAACAGCAAAGAAAAAATTTAAAGGCCTAATAAGTTACATAAGGCAAGTTTTAAATAACATAGGTAAACAAGTTAAAGTGTTAGTTGAAAAAAATGAAAACAACAACAAAAAAAAATGTTAACCTTCTGAAAATTATAACGTCAATGTCAGGAAGTAAAAATAAATTATACAAGTGGCTCCATTTATTTCATATAAAGCTCTGATGCAAACACGTAACAGGTTCGCATCAGTGCTAAATACAGACGTAAAAAGGGTCCAAAAGGTTTGTACTCAAATTACTAAAACCACAGAGAACGCTTACGCTCACATTTCACATATAGCAGTGGAAAAACAGTAGTTTATTTATTTTTTAATTAGAATTAGTTTGATGTAGTGATTTATAATGCATCTATATCATTTTAATTCATTTTTATTTCAATTTTAGTTCGTTTAAATTATACAAAAAGAAAACGGGTAATTCAGCTATGGCATCTAACTGAAAATTTTTATTTCAGTTAACTATTTAAATTAACAGAATTTATGGTTTTAGTTTTAGCTAATTATAATAATGCTAAGGCTGTCACTAAGGTGGCAATATTTGGTAAAAAAAAACGTATTACAATCTAAAATAACGGATTTTAATGTTATTTTTGCAATGTCAAAGCTGAATTTTCAGCATCATTACTCCAGTCTTCAGTGTCACATGATCTTCAGAAATCATTCTAATATGCTGATTTGCTGCTCAAGACACATTTCTGATTATTATCAGTAGGGCTGTGTATCACCAGCAAAGTCACGATACGATACCCAGCTGTATCGATACTCGTATCGTCAAATCTCTGTGACGATACATCGTCGTATCGATGTATCGAACACAGCACTAATTATCAGTGTTGAAAACAGTTGTGCTGCTTCATATTTTTATAGAATCCATGATGCATTTTTTCCCGGATTCTTTGATTAATGGAAAGTTCAAAAGAACAGCATTTATTTGATACAGAAATCTTTTGTTACATTATAAATGTCTTTACTGTGATTTTATCAATTCAGTCTATTCTAAATAAAATAATTTACGATAGTCCTAAGAGGCCATGGATTATGATTATTTTTCTTTCTTGTGATCTCGACATTACGAACGTTGTTTTATTTGTTTTTTTTGACAGAATTTTGCTTCGCTTAGTAATAACATCTACAATAAATAATTAAATATAGGCTGATCAATCACTGTTGATTTTTTCCAGAGACACTACACTGAACATTTTGCTTGTGTAATTAACATGTTTAAATGGTCAAACATCAGAGCATTCGCACTAATTATATTATCAGTGTTGAAAACAGTTGTGCTGCTTCATATTTTTATAGAATCCATGATGCATTTTTTTCCGGATTCTTTGATTAATGGAAAGTTCAAAAGAACAGCATTTATTTGATACAGAAATCTTTTGTTACATTATAAATGTCTTTACTGTGATTTTATCAATTCAGTCTATTCTAAATAAAATAATTTACGATAGTCCTAAGAGGCCATGGATTATGATTATTTTTCTTTCTTGTGATCTCGACATTACGAACGTTGTTTTATTTGTTTTTTTTGACAGAATTTTGCTTCGCTTAGTAATAACATCTACAATAAATAATTAAATATAGGCTGATCAATCACTGTTGATTTTTTCCAGAGACACTACACTGAACATTTTGCTTGTGTAATTAACATGTTTAAATGGTCAAACATCAGAGCATTCAACGCCGCAAGCGCAGGTCGATTCAAACACAACATCACCGCTTATTAACTAACAATCATGTACTTCAAAGATGCACAAATAAAGATACAGGTGCAAACAGAATACAGTGACGTCAACACTGGTTTTAATAAGCAGCTAGTTTATCACACGATGCTATTGTGGTGGTGAAACTGAGATGAGTCATGCATCTAGCAAGAACTTAACGATGCGTAAAATAATCATATTGATTCAAGCATTTAACATTTATGAATTGATTAAATATCAGTAATGAACAATACTGCACAAATTATAGCGATCACGAAGAAGGTCCTTATTCTGTCCCAAACGTGTACAGTAAAGTGGATATACAGTATACAACACCCCATCAGTTATATTCAGTTCTGTACTGCCACCTGTTGGCGCAGTTGTGTAACTTATGCCCCCTTCACACATACAGACTTTACTGGTAAATTACCGTGAAGACATCACGTGTGAACGGGACCTTTTCAAATATACCGGTAAATTCATTCTGTTCAGAAGTTGTAAAATTACCAGTAAATTACCGATAATCTGCTCTGTGTAAACGCTGAATGAAGATTATAATAATAATCCATGGCCTCTTAGGACTTCTGTAAGTATTTATTTCTTAAAATTAAAAAAAAAAAAAAAAATAAAATAAAATATATATATCTTACTGACCCCAAACTTTTGGTAGTGTACATAAAGGTACATATTGTTGTACAGCCCAAAGGTAAAACAGAGACACAAGTGTATCTGTGTGTAAGAGAGGCTTTGGCCAGACAATGCTTTATCCCACGCGTATAACTACACACACCACAGATGTGTGGCAGCAATGTAAATGGGACATTTCTTTCTTTGTGCGTGCGTGACCTCACCTCTGTCTGATTTGGTCCAGTTTCTCTGGATCACTGATGACCACCTGAACACCCAGCTTCATCTTGGTTTTCTGCAGGCTAAAGTCCAGACAGGCTATCTTGGCGTTGGACACGCGCTTTACCATTCCTAAACAAACACAAACAACATTACCACACACACACACATACTAACTCACTATGCAAATGTCAAAAACAAGCATGCGTGTGAACAGACCTTGTGATCCGACAGTGCAGTTAAGTGCGTATCCGTTGACGAGGAAACTCTCTTTCTGGCTGCGTCCGTGAGCCTTCAGCACATTCACAGAGTTGATGGGATAGCGAGCAACACCTTTCCCATCAACAAACTTCACAGCCAGGGCAGCGTCCACCACCATATTAGCAAAAAAATCTGAATCACTGACAGAACGTCAAGGAGCAACATCCTTTCAAATGATTTGTCAGGCCATGCCCATCTCACTTTATACTATTTCAAACTCTGAAAAGAAATGCAGACTCTCTACACGGCCTTGTAATGCTACAATCACTTAAAGTGCCCCTATTAAGCCATTTCCAATATTGCCTTTCATGCAGTGTGTACTGTAGCTGTATGGTGGGGGCAATGTGTGTGTCATTGATTCAACCGATTCATTCAATAAATGAAGCAAGTGACTGTCTTTATGAATAGCTCACTGAATCATTGACTCACCCAATTCGCTGAACTGAAGTTGTATAAAATCAATATCACATTTGCAATCATGCTGAAAGTCGGGTAAACATCACTCTTGGTCGTGTGATGTTGCATATATTATATAGAATATTTATATTTTTTTCTACCGCAGTAGGTTTGTTTCTTTGTGTGTGCCGTTGCGCTTATAGTTTTGATTTCTCCGCGAGTCAGACAGGCTGCACGAGCCTCAATTGACGCAACCTTGATAATATCAATACATTATCCGCTATTAGTCACCGTTTACACTGAAAGTAATAAAATCAGAATCATTCTCACCAAAGTTTCGGTGCTGCCCTAGTTATTGTTTGTTATTAACATTTTAATCAGGTTACTTGTCCGGTCGGGCAAGGAAAATTCTCTTTCACTTGCACCTTCACAAAATCCTCTTGTCCCAGACAAGCATTAATGTCGAGCCCTGCGTAGTCTGAATGGAAAAAGCTGCTGATTTATTGGAGTTTGATAAAGGACAAATTGTGATGGCACATGTCCTGCGCAGTCGACGACCCGGCCAGGTCCAACAACGCATGAAATGGGCCCAAGATCATCTAGACTGGACCGTGGATGATTGGAAGAAAGTGGCCTGGTCTGACGAATCATGATTCCTGGTGCATCACGTCCAAGGCCCAGCGTGAATACACTGAATGCCAACAGAGGCAATGGCACCTGGATCAGGGGCGCGGGAAGATGTTTTCGGTTGGGGGTGCTGTGTGTGTCCGAGTTGGGGGGGGGTGGTTCACTTACGTCGGTGCTCGTGCTGGGGCTGGTGTTGTTTGGATGCCAATTTTGTAAAGTTTTTGCTGGGATGGGCATTTAAAAAAATCGGAAATTCGCTTTTGCGCCATTATCGCCTTGTATTACAGTTAATCTTGTTCGCATTCTGTACAGTTCATGTCTGATACCACGAGCTAGCGTCACGTGTTCATGAGGATTAGGCTAATCATCCCATATAGAAAACGTCACAAGTAAAATTAATCATGTTTATGAAGATAGACATGGGTTTATTATAGCCCACTTACAATTTACATTTCAGAGATCATTACAAATAAATTATTAAATGCTAAAACTGAATAAATTTAAATGAACAAACTTGGCATTGCATTTGCAACCATGTGAAAACAGGGGGTGCTGCAGCCCCCTCAGCACCCCTACTTCCCGCGTCCCTGACCTGGATGCACTGTTGGGCGGACGCAGGCCGGTTATGATGGGGGCGATGTTTTCTTGGGACACTTTAGGCCCCATTATCCCAATATCACTATCCCTGACAGCTGTCAGGTATCTGAACATCGCTGCGGACCAAGTGCAACCATTAATGGGTTTCCCTGCCAATGATGGCCATCACCAACAGGACTATGCCACACTGCCAGAATCGTCAAGGAGTGCTTCGAGGAACATGATGGCGAATTTCTGTTAATGCCTCGGCCTCCAAATTCACCTGACATGAACCCAACCGAAAAGCGGGATTGCGCTGCATCATGCCAACCCCACAATGCACGGGAACTGGAGGACTTGCTGTTGATATTATGGTACCAGTTACCCCAGGAGACCTATCGGCGCCTCATCAAATCGCTGTGTGGCCACTGTTTTGTGGGTTATTAGATAGGTGGTCATAATGTAACAGCTCATGCACACACACATCAAACAGCGCCACACAGAGGATACACTCCGATAATCTTAGAGGACATGGATGTCTTGGCAGCATTGATGAGACACTCTCTGCCCAAGTCATCTGTGCTGATGGTCAGATTCTCATTGATGTATCGGACTGCCTCCCTGGGAACCAGAGAAAATAAGCTTACTTTAAATGTCTTGCTCAATCGTACTTAAACACACAAGACTTCCTGTTGGCACAGGAAGTGACTCTTACTTGCAGGCCAGTCTGTATCCACTGATGATGGAGGTGGGGTGGATCTTCTGTTTGACGAGCTCATCGGCACTCTTCAGCAGCTCGGCGGCGATGATCACCTACCAACACACGCAGAGATGAGTGGCTTCTGCAACACAATCTCACACTGTCTAGTGTCCTGTCAGAGATGTGGAAGCTGCAGGGAAAGACCGACACTCCTATCCAAAGCAGCAAATGTCTCACCACTGATGTTGTGCCATCTCCAACCTCCTTATCCTGCAGCTCTGCTAGCTCACAGAGGACCAGGACACAATGCTCAAGGCCGATGAAGTATTACTAAACACTGACTCCTGTGAGCCGCACGTGCTGCTCGAGACACCGGTCACCGCAGCTCTTCCGCTCAAGCGTCGCCGCGCGCGGCCTATTCACCGCGTCCCTTTGGTTTGTTGAGGGCAAACACGAGCGCATCCCGACTCACCGTTTTGGGTCCTGACGGACTCGCCGGTCGTCCTCTGGCCGAGCACGTTTAACGGACCCTCTATCATGGACATGTTGGATGGAGAGAAGAATGGAGGCGCGGGGGGTTATGGGTAGCGTGAGAGCGGGAGGGGCGCGCGCGCGGAAAGTTCCAGATCAGTCCAGAAGAGCAGCTTTTAGTTCACACTCAAACACACACACGAGAGCCACTGAAGCGATCCAGAGACTCCACTCTACACACTGATGTTCATAAAGAGCTCGAAAACCACGCAGATTAATCCACAGACTGAAAGAGCTATTAAAAACTACAATTCCCTCTTTGGATCTGTAACTCATTCGATGGTTTTCGTCAAGGCATTTATTAAGATTGAGGGACATCTGGTGGACTGGCAGCGCAGCGGCGGCCCTGCGTCCCAATGTTCAGCCGAGCCATCCTAAATAGTATGCGAGATTAGAATTAGTGTGTCCCAAAGCATAGTATGTTGAAAAGAGTATGCCAACAATCCCCGGATGGTCTGCTGTTTCAGGCGGATTTCTGAAGTGTGGATCCGTGCGCACTCATCCTCAAGGACCTCCAGAACATAATTGACTCATTTAGTCTTTGTGAGGACCAAATGCAATCAAGTATAATTCAAGTTATTTGACTTGTCCAGTATTTGGCCATATCATCCATTATATTGGATGTTTCTTTTATGGTGAACATGTCATGTCAAAATATACAAATATACAAAACATATACAAAAATTCATACTTTATAGGCCTACGGACCCACTGGCATTACGTCAAAGACCACTAGGGGTCCACGGACTTATGGTTGAGAAACATTGCTCTAATGGTTAATATTACCCACAATCCATTGCGCTTTGGTGAAGGATTATGTTCAGAACTACAAACACGAATACAAATGTTAAAAAATTACAAATATGGCGGTTGTGCGCGACCTAGTAGAGAGGTTTAGATAAAGGGGTTTGAGTTACTAATAATCAACATTTAACCTGGTAAAAATATTTATTTAATGTTATCCATGTTATATTTTATCTGCAACAACAATGTGAACATTTATAAACATCTGTTTGTCCATTAACTTATAAATGGATCATTATGCAAAAAAAATAATAATAATAAAATAAATATGAGCAGAGTTCCCAGCATGAATACCCAACGTGCTACTTCTTTTCTATAATACGGAAGGAAGTTAAATTGAATGAAATGTAGAGGATGTGTTAACTGTGACAAGATGATTGACAGACCAGTTTATAGTGACAGGGTGCGTGTAATTACGAGACAGAGCGGTATGACGTGACCGTATGTCCCAAGGCTTGCCTACTCTTCTACTAATTTCAAGGTTTTTTTTATTTTTTTTTTAGGGGATTTCGTGTTACTAAACAATCACATTTTAATTATGGACCATTTATATCACCAGGCTCAAATTGTGAAAGATTGGCCACCAGAGTCCTGAGCTTAACCCCATTGAAAGTCTTTGGGATGTGCTTGACTCGACTTTACACTGCCTGTCTAAAAAAAGTCCCACACTAATATTTTGTTGGATCACCTTTAGCTTTGATTATATGCATTCATTGTGGCATTGTTTGATGAACATCATGCAACATCACAGCATTTATTTCCATCAAGAGTTGCATTAATTGTTGGCTGAGATCGAGAGTTGAACCACTCTGTCAAGTCGACTCCAGCACATCCTAAAGACTTCCAATAGGGTTAAGATCAGGGCTCTGTGGTGGCAAATTCATACAAGAAAATGATTTCTTATGCTCACTGAACCACTGTTTCACAAATTGAGCTTGGTGAATCTTATAATTGTCATCCATTGTCAAAATGTTTTTTTTTTTTTTAATGTTGCTTTGAAGTGTCAGGTTTTTCATTATGATTAGAGTCAAACCAGAAGACAGAGAAAGCTTTTTGTTACCCATAATCTAATCCGAACATCAAAATTTAACCAAAAATTTAGAACTCTGATTTCAACCTCTTAGTTGAGTCTTCAGACCTCGACTATGTGTGTGTTTCTGTGTGTATAAGTGGGTGTGTCTGTTTTGCACTCTTGAGGTTTTAGAGTTTCACACATTCACTGCTGTTTTTTTTTTTTTTCTTTTTTTTGCTTTATGGCAGAATTATTGAATTTATTTCACAAATTCTCAAAACTTTACTCTGCGTTACAGTCACACCAGTTAATGTGTGTGTGTGTGTGTGTGTCTACTTCACACTTAATGTTTGAGTTTCACCCCTTCACTGCTTTGTGCTTGTTTTCCTGCATTATGGCTGATTTGTAGATGGTAAACGCAAATAAATATCTCTATTTTCATTTTTTTTTTGGCCTATTTCCCATTCATTTCCAATGGCAGTCATTTTTTTTACCGCAAAGAACACATTACTTTTTTTTTTAATCAAGTCCACATTGTGTGTGTGTGTGTGTGTTCACATAGCAAGTGTCACAAAAGTCACCAAGATTCATACCATTGTGATGAAGTTAATTCAAAACATATTTTTCCAGTCTAAAATGAATGTAATGTAAACATTCAAAATCTCTCTTAATTGCATACTAATTTTATATAAAGTTGTGTTTGGTCTCCATCTTATATCCTAACATTTCCAAATGACACTAGAGCTTCATTCGCATGTTAAAAAGTGACTAAAGAAAACATAATATAAACTAATACTTTACTTTGTGATGGCAAAACTGAAGGCAAAAGCAGTTTGTTTTAATTGAATGTTTATTTGTCGCCTACAATATCGACCAGTTACAACTAGGCAGATTTAAAAAAAAAAAAAAGGCAAAAACTTAAATTAAGATCATGAAAATAGGTGAATGGCAACATTTATGAAAATGTACATCTTTACAAACAGATTGTTTAAAAGGAAGGAAAGTGCAAAAGTAACAATTCCAATGGATAACAGTCCCCACCAGTGAATCAGAAAACTAAATGTACAACTAAATAAAAATGAAAGAAAAAGTATATAAACATACTTCATTTAAAGCTTCCATCAATATTTAAATTCAGTTTATTTACACTGGTACTTAATAGATTAAGGTTTTAGGAGATTTCTTCTTTCAATGTAACATTCTGCTAAGGCAGCATCTTTGAACAATGCTCATAAAAGCATCCCCCCCCCCAAATCATACCAGCTGAACAACCGGTCAAAACATATTAGAATTACAGTTTCATCAAATTTGAAACAGAAAAAATCTGTTCAAATCTGAAACTTGGGAGGAAGTATTTAACATTTTCTCAGAAGTAAATAAATAAGAAAAAATCAACTGAAATGTGCTGTGAAAATCACTAATAAAAATAGCGAAATCTTTGGGATGACAGACAGTGTGTAGTTTGAAGGCAAAGACAGGGTGGGGACAGCCAATGATGAATATATTAGACACTAAACGCTTAAATGATCAGACAGCACAGTACTGAACTCAAATTTACATCCAATTACAGTACATTTTTGACACCTCAAACTCCTCAGTCTCCATCATGGTCCCCTGAACACAATCAGATTAACCTAAAATTAACCTATAAATTACATTGTCCTTTTTTGCCAAGTACATTTATTAACGGTGGTCCTGACATGACGCTAAACACAAATTAAATCTAAAAACAGTGTAGTAAATGTATGCCATAATTACTGATAATATGCTAATGTCTGAGGAGTGGTTGATTGTAACTAGGATTTTAGCAAAAACCTGATCACATTTTTAAATATACTTATGACTTCCCAGTCTGATAAATCTATATCTATACCTAATGTACAGCATAGTAAAATATATATGGATTCTATGTATTCTTGGCCTCGAAAAAATGTGGCATGCAAATATTACAAATTACACACTGAATAGTCACTGGCTGATGTTACCATAGTTTCCTGTAGATGCAGCCCCCTACACAACCAAATTTGCTACCTTCTACACAATTAAATGTAAATATTTAATTATTGGCCTTAAGGAACTGTCAAAATGTTTACACAGAAATTATGGCAGATAATTTAATTAACATCACCAGTCATGTGCGCCTTATGTGGCTTATCTTAAAGCTTGTACGGCAACATTTATGTACATGCACTAGAATATTATAACCAGTAGTTTGAGAATATTGTAACAGTTTCAGAGAGAAATACGTTTAAGTTGTACCTGTAATTCAAGCCCATGTAGCCAATGTGTTTCTTTCATTTCTTAAAACTTATAATCATGATCTGACATGTGCATTAAAAGTCATGTGATAATAATTATTGACTCTTCATATTAAGGACAAAGAGATGAGATAAATCATTTGAAAGATGCTGTGTACAGTGTTCCGCTTAGATCTATAACTACTGTGTTTAACTGAATTCAAGTGTAGAGATGAGCAGAGTAATGCTGAATCCATAATTTACAAATCGTATGTTGTTGAGTGCATGTAGCTCTGCAAATTTCAGTGAATTAAGAGTTAAAATGTTGTATGTCTTGTGCTTCGTCTTTAAGTTGTGTAACATGTTCCATGTGGAAGTTTAGTTTGATGCGTCTCATTTCTTCCTATGTGCTAAGTATTTGACATGTTGTCCATCTTTGCTGCTTCCTATGCAAAACTGCTTGAGCTGAAACACTGGAGCTTTTCCCTCAGTGACTGGACAATAGTGGGCTGATTCACACCTTGCTGGCTGCAGTCCGGATCATTCCACAAGTATCCCTGCAGAGCCATCTCAGGATTAGTGGAAACCTGCTGTCCTTTTATGAGAGTTTGCATGCTGCCTTGAGGCGGGTTACAGTACTTTACTGTAGTTCCCGTTAGACTGTGCGGCTGAGCAGTTTCCTGCTTCTGCTCCTCACCCTCATCTTCAGAACGGATCTCTACATAGTCGTCGTCATCATCTCCAGTGTCTTTAAAGTTGGCCAGATAATTCTCAGTGGCACTTTGCGCATTCAGTGGCACGTTTTTGTTGAGCACCAGTATTTGCTGTGAGTCCCGCAGTGTGATATCACATGGCGCTGAGAGGTCTGAAGTCCCCTGGACGGGGCAATCTGGGAGGCTGCGCTGCCGCGGCATGTGTGTCCTTGATTCGTGTCCTTTGACCTCCCACACCTGGTTGCTTGGACCCCTGCCATTCTCTTTTCCGGTCTGGTCTATCAGTGAAGATGACTGGCAGCGATTATAAGGTGACACCTTGGCATTGCGTGGTCCAATTGAAGTGTAAATGTGATCAGAGTCATCTTTAATTGGTGTCACACAAGCACTCCAACGCTGATTGGGTGGAGTACTCGGAGTAGGAGGGAGGTTCTTCAAAGCAGGAGTAGAACTTGCGGGTGCCAGTCCTCTCTGTG